GCACTGCTACAGGCTGGGGACGACTGGCTAAGCGGCAGTTCTGCAGAAAAGGACAGGGGGATTACAGTGGACGAGAAGCTGGATATGAGTCAGCAGTGTGCCCTTGTTGCCAAGAAGGCTAACAGCATATTGGGCTGCATTAGTAGGAGCGCTGCCAGCAGATCGAGGGAAGTGATGATTCCCCTCTATTCGACACTGGTGAGGCTACATCTGGAGTACTGCATCCAGTTTTGGGCCCCCCACTACAGAAAGGATGTGGACAAATTGCAGAGAGTCCAGCAGAGGGCAAAGAAAATGATTAGGGGGATGGGGTGCATGACTTATGAGGAGAGGCTGAGGGAACTGGTCTTATTTAGTCTGCAGAAAAGAAGAGCGAGGGGGGATTTGATAGCCTTCAACTACCTGAAAGGGGGTTCCAAAGAGGATGGACCTCGGCTGTTCTCAGTGGTGGTAGATGACAGAACAAGGAGCAATGGTCTCAAGTTGCAGTGGGGGAGGTCTAGGTTGGATATTAGGAAAAACTATTTCATTAGGAGGGTGGTGAAGCACTGGAATGGGTTACCTAGAGAGGTGGTGGAATCTTCATCCTGAGAGGTTTTTAAGGCCTGTCTTGACAAAGCCCTGGCTGGGATGATTTAGTTGGGGATTGGCCAGCTTTGAGCAGGGGTTTTACTGGATGACCTCCTGAGGTCTCTGGCAACCGTAATCTTTTGTGATTCGGGTTAGATATTAGGAAAAACTTTCTAGCTATAAAAATAGCTCAGATTTGGAACAGGCTTCCAAGGGAGGTTGTGGAATCCCTCTCAGTGGAGATTTTAAAGAACAGGATGGACAAACACCTGTTAGGGATGGTCTAGATTTACTTTGTCCTGCCTCAGCTGGACTTCTTGAGGTCCCTTCCAGCTCAACGTTGCTGTGATTCTGTGATAAGGTCTCACATATAGAAGATGTTGTTTTGCAAAAACGTTGTGCCTGCAGTAAGGTATCAGTCTTTGGCAATCAGATGCAAACTCAAAGCCATATCTTGTAATGAAGGCGTGGCTGATGGTTTCTGTTCCATTTCCACAGACAAAGGACACCTAAGCCCCTAGGAGGGCAAATGCTCCTTTGCTTGCCCACTCCCCTACGTCTCTTCAACACCTTTCTTATCCTGCAGCTAGTACGCTGTAATCTTGGAGTTCTGATTCCATGGTGTTGCATTTAAAGGACAGCAACCCATATGAAATTGGAGTATTTTGCTGCAGTCTGGAAAGTGAATTACCAGAGAGGGAAACAGCATGAAAAAGTCACCCTACAGAAAAAAAAAGTCAGCAGGCTTCCAAACTGGGAAGGTCCCATAAGGAATAAAATGCCAAGCATCCATCTTCTGTACAATGGGGGGAGGGATAGCTCAGTGATTTGAGCATTGGCCTGCTAAACCCAGGGTTGTGAGTTCAATCCTTGAGGGGGCCACTTACGGATCTGGGGCAAAATCAGTACTTGGTCCTGCTAGTGAAGGCAGGGGGCTGGACTCGATGACCTTTCAAGGTCCCTTCCAGTTCTAGGAGATAGGATATCTCCATATCCAGGGAGACAGGCGAGTGGCTGAGTCTGGCGGGATGGCTGCACATCAAACTGATGCTGCGCACGCTTGGTATAAACAATGACAGCGGGAAGGATTTAAACTCTGCTTGATGCTTTCTTTAATCTGCCACGAGAGAAAAATGTTACTGTAGGTTTGTCTATTCTGATGACCTTGTCATGTGACAGGGTCACTCCTTTCCACAGCTACCCAATTAGCCTTTGATTTTGCCATCTCAGCAGACTGACCCTGACTGAACTGTTCCAGATCAATCCAAAGGTGCGAGCAGTTAATGGCAGAGGTAAATGCCCCATCTCTGTATTTCAGTGGCATGGTACTTGCTTTTATTGGACAATGCTTTACACTTCTGTCCATCCCTGCTTAATTTCACCCAAAGCTCAGGAGCCCCCTGGATTCTAGCAGTGAGGTTTCAACCTTTTTCCGACTGTGACACCCTCTATTACAACAGAGAAAAGTCCCGAGATCGCACTCACATGGGTTCTTAAAGACATAGCTGATGGTCAGAAGCCCCAGCTTGAGAAGCTCTGGTTTCTACACACTGGATTGTCTATGGATTGTATGAAAAGTGTGTATTACAAACACAACCCCAACCTTTTAGTCTGAGCATTTAGGTAAGAGCCAGAGTTTTCTAGCCAGCTGTCAAATGCTGCCATGTCAAGCAGAGTCCTTCCCTGTAACAGTGCTGAGGCCCCAGAGCCTGGACCTGCCAGGGACTGATTCAGAGCCGGGCACTGGTTAGAGCAGCTCGAAGGGCTGCCCTACATTATACCCCTGCTGCAGAATGGCCTGGTGTATCAACACACTGGCTGTGCCTCCCCAGGCCCAGCCCTGCAGCAGGGACGCTTGGCTGGAAAGACAGGGGGATAAAGCAGATGGGGTTTGGGGCCAGCACAGTAGATATTCACTGAAAAGTGCTTGTGTCCCTTTGGACCAGCTATGATGGTGCAGAGGGGTGAGTTCCACACTTGGTTAATAAATAATCTAGATAGACAGAAAGACATGCACAGGGAAGACCAGGGCTGGCTCCAGCTTTTTTGCTGCCCCAAGCAGCGAAGCAGGGGGGAAAATAAATAAATAAAGCTGCGATCGGTGGCACTTCGGCGGCAGGTCCTTCCCTCCGAGAGGGACTGAGGGACCTGCCGCCGAATTGCCGCCAAAGACCTGGACGTGCCGCCCCTTTCCATTGGCCACCCCAAGCACCTGCTTCCTTTGCTGGTGCCTGGAGCTGGCCCTGGGGAAGACTCGGACTAATACAAGAGGTTGCCTAATTCAGATACTTGTCATTGAAATTATATCCCTTACCCTGTGCTCTGCCAGCTGTGAATTACATTGTGCTGCTGCTGTGGAGAACAAAGACCCCTTCATTTTGATCCCGTCCATTCCTTATTAGTGTCACCATCAATGAAATAAGACAACGTGGGAATGGCATGTCCCTTTCAATTGGAATTTATTAAATAGCCAGGATTGAGTGAGCAATTTGATTAGCTAGCTAAACTACCAGCCTCAATTATAGATTAATTATAGGTCTGCAGTTGACAACTACTGTGTCAACATTTCTATCAACGTAAGGGAGCCCACTGTAAAAGCTTCATCTTTCTTCTGAGCCATGTTCTCTCATGTGTGCATGCCACCTCGTGTTGTTTTCAGACTCTCTACTACTGTACAGATGTTTCTATTACAACAGTGCACAAAAGCTTCAGGTAGAATACCAACCCCCCCCCCCCCGGCCCCGTACAGACGTACAGTAAGACAGTTCCTTCATTGAGGAGCTCTCAGTCTAAAAGCACCAAACAGGAGTCAGAGGACAACTAGTGAAATGACTTGCACAAAGGCCCAGAGCAGGTCAGTGGCACAGCTAGGAACAGAACTAGTCAGTCTGCTCAGTTTCATGGCTGCTATTCAGTGGCCCTGCATGAAACTGACAAGATCATGTCAGTTGCACTCAGCCGCTGAGGAGGATCCCATGGTCTGTTGCTCCCGGGAAGCCCGGCTGTATGAACTGCCCAGGTGAGCCCAGAGCTATCAAACGCCCAGCTGTCCTCAGGGCAGGGGATGCATAGCCAGGAGAGGCTTCCGTATTCCGGGCGCTGTGACGGGGCGGCTGCAAGCCCTAGCTTAAACGGGAGCTGGGCTTCTGGCCCCTAGACCCTGCTGCAGAGCCAGGACTTTCAGGCTTCTAGCTCCCGAGCAGGTAGAAGCTGGAACCCCAGCTTAGCTTACAGGGAGCCAGGCAGGTTTTCTGGAAGGGAGAGCTCTGGAGGACCCTACCTGCCATTTGACAAAACTGAACTGGTTTTGTGAAACATTCTGGGTTCAACAAATCAGCATTTTCTGATGGAACTCTTGTCAGAAAAGTTTCCAACCACCTCTAATAGAGCCTAGGACTCCTATTTTTTATGTTGGGTTGTTTTTTATATTTCTAACTACTCGTTCCCGCAATCCTCACTGCCACTCCACAGATGGAGGGACCAGGTAGGTTGACCAGATGTCCCGATTTTATAGGGACAGTCCCCATATTTAGGGCTTTATCTCTTATAGGCACCTATACCTCCCTCCCAGTCCTGATTTTTCACACTTGCTATCTGGTCACCCTAGGACCAGGACACTAGAAGTCCAGGGAGGGGGTCTGCCCTCATTCTGTGCCATTCTGCCCTGCTCTGTCAAGGTGTCTTTTGCTGACTCACGCAGCATCATTTCAAAGGCAAGGACCAGGATCTGTCATTACCATGGAGCTTCTGCTCTTTCTCTCTTCCATTCCACCTGCTATGGAGAAAGGGTACAAGGACTACAGTGTTTACTCCACCTCTTAGGAGGTAGTAGCCGATAGTGTCACTGCTGCTCTGTGGAAGATTACTCAGACTAGTACCACCCCTAAGGAATTTACTATCTCGCAAAGCTACTGGCGCAGGGCTCTAAGGGAAGGATCCTGGCTGCTAGCAAGTAGCCAGAAGCACGGTTCTTCCTTCCCCTTTTCAGTATGCCCTTCCTTTCCCCCATTCCACCACGCACTACACTGAGTTATTTGCATATGCAAAGAATTACACAAATTAATTAATTGTGATGGGAAACCACCATAAAGCAAGAGGAAGCTGGTACAATTACCCTGATTTACTGTCCCCTTGTCTAAATTTAGAGAGTAGGACTTGTCAGTAAATTGTACCCCAATGTTTGAGGCGGCACATACCTTTTATCCGAAGAGCTGACCTTTTTCCACGAAGGCGACTAAATAAATCCACACAGCCTTTGCCCCTTTTGCACATACCTTCTCTAGAGATACTAGACCCCCTTCCTGGTTTTGTGTGGAAAGAAAGGCGTAGAGGGCAGAAATTGTTTGTTGTGTTTTAAATTGAACAAGAGTTAGTAACGAGTGCAACAGAAAGCGATGAGTGTCGCCGGCCAGTGAGCCACCCAGCACATGTAGATGATATAATGATCCTTTAATAGCACCATTATGAGATGATGCACCACACATTGGAGACAGTTATGCTAGGCGCATGAGACAGCTCTCCAAATGAGCCCTAATATACAGCAATGCGATCGAATGCCCATTTCCACACATTTGTGTGCATACTTCAATCGACATTTGCCATGCAATGGAAAGGGTGCGGTGGGGGAGAGTCAATATGTTACAGAATGGCTTTTGCTGATGTAATAAAGTTAATTGCTGTCAAGTTCCTCCTTCATGTGCTGGTTCTTTGGCTTCTGGTCCTGTTGGATCCTCAATTTACTTTAAAAAAAAGAAAAGAAAAGGAAACAAATCATAGTTAAAGCATTCAGTGTTAACAAAACCTAACCAGACACAGCTTCAGAAAGGAGACCGTGAATAAACCTGTATTCATACCAGCTACAAATTATTTCCTTTAGCATCAACATCAGTTCACCCCCTGCAGTGCCATCTCACATTTCTGGTGTTCAGTAAAGAGGGTCCATAATATTCCATTGCCAATTGCTCACAAAGGTATGCTGAAAAGCCAATCCTACAAGGTCCCTCTCCCCAATAAAAGATATCACCTCACCCACCTTGTCTCTCTCATGTGCCTACAAAGGAGTCCCTCAAACTTTTGCAAATAGCAAGACCATGTTTGGCTAACCCCGGCAAAACTGAAGAGATCACAATACAAACTGTACAAAGTGACCTAAACCAGCTTTAGCGAACGACAATTAGCCGTACAATGGACAGTCGAAAAGGAGGAGCCATTTCTAGTCATAACATGGTGCCAGGTTTTATGGGAAATGCAGTTAAATCAAAGGCTACCGTGGGCACTGTACACTTGGGTTACATGGTGTTTCTGGAGGACATATGAGCATGTCTCCAGCGTGCTCCACCACATTTTCATGATGTAATCATAACCAGAAATCTCATATCTAAGCATTTCCCTGCACACTGCCGTTTTATAAATAAGTGAAAACAACTGAGGCACAAACTTCCCCCACCAGCTAACAGCCATTGGCTGGCTTGTGTGAACAAGTTTGTGGCCTCAACTCAGTTCCTCACCAACAGGTCAGAGAACTAGCACTCAGTCTCAGAGACCAGAAGGACGGTAGGATCATGGACAAAGAGCTATTCTCTGGGCTAGCCGTGGCCCTCCCCGCGTGTAACTCCCGACCTATGTGAGGAAGCAGACATCACCACTCCCTGGGCTACGTATCAGTTGTGGGGGTAAACACGGATTTAATCTTTGGTGCTTATGAAAGATGCTAGCTTGCCAGTGCGGGAGAAAGCTATGGGGCCTCCATCAGTCTGCCTTTGCCTGGGAATAAATCAGCGACTTTGGATCAGGCCCTCCGAACTGCAGAGTCAAAAGGAATCTTGCCATTGGCTTCAATAGGCTTTGTACCTAGTTCGGAGCCTCTTGGGAGCAGTAGCAATTCCTAGACAGCAACAAGAGCAAAGACCTATAGACAGCGGGTCCGAGAGGGAAAGGCCCATTCTGGAAAGTCATAGAGACAGTTTCCTCGACTGCTAAATGGCAGAGAAAGTGACAAGTCTTTAGAACAGTGGACTATTGTAGCCACTCTTCTATTTGTCAGATCACCTGGGCTTTGCTCTCCTGCAGAAAGCAGTCTGTGGCATTCTGGGTTATAAGCAGGCCGGGGGTATCGGATTCAGAGCGCAGAGGTAGCAAGAGCAGATTCTGCTGGGGAAGGGACAACAGCTGCAAGGAAATAGGAACTTTGCCGCTGCCTGCCACCTCACCCAAGTTGCATAATGGTGAAATAAAGGGCCCTGGCTCTGGCTCTGTGCCAGGATGAACACTCACTCCGAGCTCATCAGTTATGCAACAGCTCCCAGCTTGCAGGGTTTTTGTCTTTCCACCGAACAGAGACAAACCTCCTGTGGAGGATGAGGGGAGGTGGGGGGAGTGAATGATAACCCAGGGCTATGCACAAAGTTATGGAGAATGCAACGCTGTGCCTAAAGAGGTGGTCTCTTAATGAGTACACCAGGGATGAGGTCTTTTCCTCCCACACCCTGGAAACATGATGCATCCTGCATTGGGACTATCCTTTGCCTAGAAGGACTGGGGCAGCTCTCAGATCCTCTCTGTATTTTTCATCCAGGATTCCTATTAGGGGACACACATAAGGCTAAGTCCATGATTGGCTAGGCTGGCTCTTTCATTGCTGGAAAATCCCACTAGTCTATGCTGTCACACTCTTATCCACTCTGTTCGATCCCTTCTCAATTACCTTTTGTATTCAGGGTCTACTCTAATGGGAGTCAGATGCCCAGTTCCATTGCAGTCAATGGCAAGTTATCCCAGCTAAAAATCTGGCCTTGTCTATGTTTCAAACCCCCCATTACTTTGCTTTGGACCCGATCTGCTTTGAGGAGAGACTGCCCTGGTGTGATTAAACCAGAGAAAACACATTAGTAACAGTGATGACCTACAGGTTACTTGAAGTAGAATCAGGGGATTGTTGCTTTGTTTGTTTTACCTTAAACTTCAGGGACACCCCCCCAACCCTGGACATGAGAGGGGTTCAGAAAACAAACCCAGCTGCAGATTTCATAGCTGACTCCAGCAAAGAGAGATTTCCAGAGGCACAAAGGGGAAGCAGGCACTCCACAGCCCTTTGTGGCTTTGACAAGCTCCTCCTAAAACTCCCGATCCACACACCTCTGACCTTTGGAACATCCAAAGCCTAGCCCTCAGCTGGGGGTCTCTGGCCCATATTTACCATTGGCAGCTTAACATTTTCAGCTGATCCTAAGAAAGAAAGCAGGTAAGATTTTAAGAGTCATACGTTCCTCTCCATTTGCTTTATTTTCCTTTCAAAGGATGTTTTCCTGCTTGCTTGTTTTTAGGTGTGGTTGGTTTTATTTTGGGGTGGAGGAGGGGGGTATGTATGCTTTATACCTTAGGGAACACAAAATATTGGTGATATTGCTGTTTTATCCAGATGACTTCTTGGGGGACTAAAGAACTGGTTTGGGAGACCTTGCACTCTTTAGATTAAAAGGAGAAGGGATGTGAATTCATTCAAAGAGAATCCCTCACCTCCCTCCCAAGTTTTAGTAGAAGCTGGTTGAGAGAGCTATTAAAAATGCACACAGATTTTTAGGCAGTCTGACACACTCCATTCCCCTCCTAATCATGCTTCTTACAGTCTCTTGACCCTTCTGAGGTCATTTCACTAGTTTGCCAGCAAAACCAAAGAAAACCCAGTATTTCTAATGCAAGATCTGAGCAAAAGAAGTTTTTAAAATAAAAATTATACATAAAATTAACACGCGCACCCTGCCATAGGTCTATAGATGAACGAGTTACATTCATCCTTGGTGCCACTCCACTGAGCTCATTGGAATGAATTCACAATCCAACCACAGCCAGTTGGATTTATTTTAATCTTTGTTTTAGCACATTAAGGGAAATCAACCCTTTTCTTTCCTCTTGATTTAGCTTCAGTTTTGTCCTCTTGAGCCTCGGAATGGGAAAAAAGCCAGCTAGAAGAAAATAAATTGCATGCTAGAACGATGCTGCAGCCTCACACTGGAAGTCGGAAGAAATTAGAAAGGTCAAAGATTACGTAAAAAGGAAAAGCACTAATGAAAACGGTGTGCCAGCTTGCCATGACTTGTGACGAGCATAAAAGAGGACAGACATAGGGAAAGGATTATGTTTTGAATAGCATGATGAACTAAAACAAGCCCTGAGCTAGCAGAGTACTGAGTTTTCTCTCTTTAATGTTGACCTCTTGTTTGAAGGAAAAAGTAAGTCTCCCCTTCCGTGTAATTTTAAACAAGAATCTGGCTCAGGCTGCAACAGCTGCTCGGGGTTTGTCAGCGACTCACTGACATTAATCTTTGTCTAAAACTATCATTTTGCCAAACCGGAAAAGTTAGTTCAGTCTCCTCACACATGGCATGGTATCCTAGCTCTTTCTGCCCGGGCTGTCAGCAACGGTGCCAATCATGCTGTGGTTACATGGTTCATAGGAACTGCACACAGGCCATCTTTTATCCTGCAGAAAGATCCTTCTGCTTAAAGAACAACTTTCCTTTTCCTCGGCGGACTTTGAAAGTGTTTAAAATGCTAACCAGCTATCTCCATGATGTGCACATTCATCTCATTTAAAGTCACTTTCCTTTAGATTAACTTCTCTGTCGCATGATACGGTGGGTGAAATAGCAGCAGCAATTAGAACGACTCCCACGCAGCCTCTCAGAAGTAGGTTAGCAAAGGCAGTTTGTGCAGTGCGAGGCTTACTGAAGCCAACGAATTGCTTGTGCCTTCACGGTTATTTGCATTAATTAGACTCTAAATACTGTTACCCTTGCAGCCAGACTGCAGGTGGAGGTGTAATGAACAGCTGCTGCAGTTACATTGCGGCTTTGTTCTCTTCGATACTGTAATACAGAGATAATGGTTTGTATGACAGTAGGGCCTCAAGGCTCCATTGTGCTAGGCAGGATTCAAAGAGACTGCTCCAGAGACCTTAGACTCTAAATAGTCATGACAGACACAGGAAGTGGATGTGCCCAAGGTCACAGAGCAGGTCAGTGATGGAGCTGCGAACAGAGGAGAAGCCAACATAGGGAGTTTGCCTGGGAACGGTCCGAGAGGGGCTACGGTGAGTGCTGCGTTAGGGGGGCTGTGTTGTGAGCTGGTGGGGTCAATATTCGAGTGTCTGTCTGCTGTGACCATTTGTTTGACTGGAGCTAGTTGCAGGGGCTGTTTGACTGGGTGGTTGTTTGTTTGAAAAGCGTGAACTGGGAGTGCTTTTGCCTTGAGTGGTTGTTTGGAGAGAAGGCTTTGAACCGGGGCAACTGCTTCCAAACAGCAGCCTTATAAAAAAGCAGCCAGTTGCAAACCGAGTGAGCGGCCAACAGAGGAGAAGCCAACAGAGGGAGTTCAGCTGGGGGGAGTTCCCAAAGAGTTTTTGCCTTTCAGGCATCTGTGAGCAGTAAGTACAACATCTGAAGAGGCTCTTAGAAGGAAGACAATATGGATAGTGAGCGATCAGCTGTTGTGACCTGCATGGGATGTGCCATGTTTGTCTCTCTCCCAGAGAACAGAAGCGACTTCGTCTCTACAAAGTGCAAACCGGTCTCCATATTGGAAGACAAGGTTAAAGGACTAGAGATCCAAGTATCAACCCTGCGTTGCATCAGAGAAAATAAGGATTTTTCTGGATAGAAGTCAGCGTTTGGTATTGCAGGCACAGCATGCTGAAGAATCAGAGAGGGCAGTGCAGAACGGGGAAGAAAATTGGCAGCATGTGACCTCCAGAAGAAGAAAGAGGAGAACCCATGTACCCCCAATGCAGATAGATGTAAGAAACCGTTTTCAGGCTCTCTGCACAGGTACTATGGCGGAGAATGGTTTGGAAGAGTCATCTGAGGGAAGGGATCAGAAGGAGACTCCATCGGCCGGAAGGCATGGGATGCATTGTTCTAGGGATGGGAGTTCCATGACCACCACTCTCAAGAAGAAGAGACGGATGGTGGTGCTCGGGGACTCCCTCCTAAGCGGGATGGAGTCATCCATCTGCCATCCAGGCCGGGAAACTCGAGAAGTGTGCTGCTTGCCTGGAGCTAGAATTCACAATGTAATGGAGTGTATGCCAAGACTGATCGAGTTCTCAGACCGCTACCTCTTCCTACTTCTCCACATGGGCACCAATGATACAGCCAAGAATGACCTTGAGCGGGTCACTGCAGACTACATGGCTCTGGGAAGAAGGATAAAGAAGTTTGAGGCACAAGTCGTGTTCTCGTCCATCCTCCCTGTTGAAGAAAAAGGCCCAGGTAGGGACCATCGAATTGTGGAGGTAAATGCATGATGTCAGAGAGAGGGCTTTGGATTCTTGGGCTATGGGATGATGTTCCAGGAAGGAGGATTGCTAGGAAGAGAGGGAAGAGCATCTTCGCAGGCAGGCTTGCTAACCTAGTGAGGAGGGCCTTAAACTAGGTTTGCTGAGGGATGGGGACCTAAGCCCCGAGGTAAGTGAGGAAGTGGGATACTGAGAGGAAACACCAGGAGGAGGGTCCAACAGGGAAGGCCACCTGATTCATACTGAGAAAGTAGGGCAATCGGCTAGTTATCTCAAGTGCCTGTACACAAACACAAGAAGCCTGAGAAACATGCAGGAAGAATTGGAAGTCCTGGCACAGTCAAGGAACTATGATGTGATTGAAATAACAGAGACTAGGTGGGGTGACTCACATGACTGGAGCACTGTCATGGATGGGTATAAACTGTTCAGGAAGGACAAGCAAGGGAGAAAAGGTGGAGGAGTTACACTGTATATAAGAGAGCAGTATGATTGCTCAGAGCTCCAGTATGAAACTGGAGAAAAGCCTGTTGAAAGTCTTTGGGTTAAGTTTAGAGGCGAGAGCAACAAGGGTGATGTCATGGTGGGCATCTGCTATAGACCACCAGACCAGGAGGATGAGGTAGACGAGGCTTTCTTTGGACAACTAACAGAAGTTTCCAGATCACAGGCCCTGGCTTTCATGGGGGACTTCAATCACCCTGACATCTGCTGGGAGAGGAATACTACAGTGCACAGAAAATCCAGGAAGTTTTTGGAGCGTGTTGGGGACAACTTCCTAGTGCAAGTGCTGAAGGAACCAACTAGGGGCCGTGCTACTCTTAACCTGCTGCTCACAAACAGGGAAGAATTGGTAGGGGAAGTAGAAGTGGGTGGCAACCTGAAAAGCAGTGACCATGAGATGGTCGAGTTCAGGATCTGGACAAAAGTAAGAAAGGAGAGCAGCAGAATATGGACCCTGGACATCAGAAAAGCAGACTAACTTTCTTAGGGTACTGATGGGCAGGATCCCCTGGGAGGCTAATATGGAGGTGGAAAGGAGTCCAGGAGAGCTGGCTGTATTTTAAAGAAGCCTTATTGAGGGTACAGGAACAAACCATCCTGATCTGCAGAAAGAATAGCAAATATGGCCAGCGACCAGCTTGGCTTAACAGAGAAATCTTCAGTGAGCTTAAACACAAAATGAAGCTTACAAGAAGTGGAAACTTGGACAGATGACTAGGGAGGAGTATAAATATATTGTTCAAGCATGCGGGGGTGTAATCAGGAAGTCCAAAGCAGAATTGGAGTTGCAGCTAGCAAGCAATGTGAAGGGTAACAAGAAGGGTTTCTACAGGTATGTTAGCAACAAGAAGGTGGTCAGGGAAAGTGTGGGACCCTTACTGAATGGGGGAGGCAACCTAGTGACAGATGATGTGGAAAAAGCTGAAGTATTCAATGCTTTTTTTGCCTCGGTCTTCACAGACAAGGTCAGCTCCCAGACTGTTGCACTGGGCAGCACAGTATGGGGAGGAAGTGAGCAGCCCGCAATGGTGAAAGAACAGATTAAGGACTATTTAGAAAAGCTGGACATATAGAAGTCCATGGGGCTGAATGCAATGCATCCAAGGACGCTAAGGGAGTTGACTGATGTGTTTGCAGAGCCATTGGCCATTATCTTTGAAAACTCGTGGTGACCAGGGGAGGTTCCAGACTATTGGAAAAAGGCAAATATAGTGCCAGTCTTTAAAAAATGGAATCCATTTTGAAGCACTTGGAGGAGAGGAAGGTGATCAGGCACAGTCACATGGATTCACCAAGGGCAATTCATGCCTGACCAACCTGGTTGCTTTCTATGATGAGATAACTGGCTCTGTGGATGAGGCGAAAGTGGTGGACATGATATTCCTTGACTTTAGCAAAGCTTTTGATACCTCTCCAACAGTATTCTTGCCAGCAAGTTAAAGAAGCATGGATTGGATGAATGGACTATATGGTGGATAGAAAGCTGGCAAGATCGTCAGGCTCAATGGGCAGTGATCAATATCTCAATGTTTAATTGGCAGCCGGTATCAAGCGGAGTGTCCCAGGGATCGGTTTTCGGGCTGGTTTTGTTCAACATCTTCTTTAATGATCTGGATGATGGGATGGATTGCATCTTCAGCAAGTTCGTGGATGATACTAAGCTGGGGGGAGAGGCAGATATGCTGGAGGGTAGGGATAAGGTCCAGAGTGACCTAGACATATTGGAGAACTGGGCTAAAAGAAATCTGATGAGGTTCAACAAGGAGAAGTGCAGAGTCCTGCACTTAGGACGGAAGAATCCCATGCACTGCTGGGGACCAACTGGCTACGCAGCAGTTCTGCAGAAAAGAACCCATGGATTACAGTGAATGAGAAGCTGGATATGAGTCAACAGTGTGCTCTTGTTGCCAAGAAGGCTTACGGCATTTTGGGCTGTATAAGTAGGGGTATTGCCAGCAGATCGAGGAACGT